AGGTTTACCGTTATCGCGGAGTTTGAGTGACTTTCTCAGGACCCTGGATTCTTGAAATTCAAATTTCCCGGCAAAGTAAAAAGTAAAATTTTCCTTGTTTTGGGTCATTAAGTGCATATAACTTTTTGAAAACTCAATGGATCCTAATGAAACCCTTAAACGCCATCCGGCTAACTTAGCTGCGTCCATAGACACCAAGATCGTTGGAATCCGTGCCGCCGTTTGCTCTGAATTCCATTCTAAATCGAATCAATTTTCAGATTAAGGGAGTTGCCTGTGACTAAGAGTGTCGGCCACCCGTTTGTTATCGGGACTTTAGTAGGACGTCATTTTCCTCGACCGGGGGTGGCTACCGCCACTCTTGATCTTCGTTTGTTTATAGTTATACGACCCACACACGGCAGAGGCATGCAGAGGTACCCGCCGGCACGCCGGGTCAAAAGTGTGGCCACCGCCGGACGGAGAAAATGGGCGCCATTTTGAGATGGGCCAAGCGGCGCGCGTTTAAATGGGAGCCCAAAATACGGACTTTTGGACTCGTATTTCGTGGGTTAATATTGCTCAAAAAAATCGGGGAAAATTCCTGTGAACTCTGTGCACTCTCTAGTTTCCAAAAATGCAAGAATTACGAATTGCTGAACAAGCTCATTCTAGCCACTTGTGTATCGTAAGAGATGGCGTTTTTAACAAGCTTGGTTAAAAAAACATTTTCAAAGAGGCCTGGATCCCTGAAAAATTGCAATCACGACAGACATTGTGTAAACAACAAAAACATACTACAGCTGAATAATCATACAGAATAATCAAAATAGTATGATATATACTACAGCACAATGACCCTGGATGAAATTATAAGGACATAGAACTTTTCAGGTAGGAAGAGCAAAAAATCACGGGGGACGTCCCGTAAAGGGTTGGTGGCAGGGCGTTGACGAAGAGATGTTGTGGTGTCAGTTCCCCGATAACCTCTGAGAAGACGGGCATATGTGACGTTTGGGTGTCGTAGAACGCCAGAGTGCGTTGTAAGGTGACTTTATATATATATAAGCAAAAAATCTGACCTGATGAAGAGATCTTGCAGCGCTGTTGAACAGTGGTCCACTCTCTGCACTGACCGTACGGAAAGGAGGCTGTGTATGCGTTTTTATCCACGCAGCGTTCCTCATTCTGGCACCAGATACACTCCTCTTGCGTGCAATTAAAACAGGATGTAAATTGCGCACAGCTACTCACACAGGAAACACCAACCTCCTGCGTACAAGAATTACAGAGAATGTATTTGTTATTTGACTAATTGTAGGACAGGATGTTTTTCTATCTGTTGAAGAATGGTTAAGTTCATGCCAACCCAGAATCAGTTTTGTGACAGGTTTTCACCCGTAAAATCCAAGGACTTGAAAAGACTTTTCAAAAAGATTTAATTACATATTAAAATCGAGAACTTTAAAGGCATTTTGAAGAACTTTCGTGAATGTTTGCAATAATTTTCGAGGATTAACAACAAAAAAATGAAAAAATACAGCCTTAAAACGATTGGTGATAAGACAAAAAAATAGTGTTAAAATATGACACCGAAATGCAGTTCTGAGATTCACGTTTCTATACAAAAGAAGGAATTAGAGGTATTATTTGTTCATCTAATTATAAGAAACCTCACAATGATATCATAGTTCAAACTTATTTCACTAGACTATTATAATTCTGAACTTCAAAACTCTGGAATTTCACAATTGAAATATGTGCAGATTTTCAATTTTGTTCAATTAAAAAGATGAATAACTAAATTAAAAAAAAAAAAAAAACTTACCCGCTGATCATCCAAAGTGAGATTGGCGATGGGCTTACATGGCCCATTCTCATGCCAGTGACATTGAGGGAGGAGCGAGCAAGCTTGACATGAGTGATACTGCGCACATATGATGGCATCATCCGTTTTGTTGCAAGACGGTTCAGACTCATAGGGCTGTTAAATAGATTCAGAAGATAAGTCAGATTCAATATAATCGAAACTAATTGATCAAAAATAAATTCAATTTGATAAATTGCACTTTTTCTGACAAGTTCTAGCAAAGGCAGCGGGGAAACAATTTTAGAGTGATGAAAATTTCTTTTGTGGTGACTGCACTCCAAAAAAAGCTTATTTTTTTTTAAAAAAAAAAAAGAAAAAAAGTTGAGGATAATGAAGAAAAACATAAAGGTAAAACAGTTATTTTTGCATTTGTTAATACACGGAAGGATTGCATCACTCTGTGCGTCACAAAACGATGCACTACTTTTTTTCAGTAATGATCAGATTGTAAAAATTTGGGTCTTGAATTACAGCTGAAGTTATGTAGAATTTGATCAGAAAATAACCCGAAAAAAAATTTTTTAGACAAAAATTACTTGTGAATTCATTGAGGAATTGGGCGGCGTAATAGGCAGGAGGGCTTCCACGCACAATTTTGAAACTCACCCTAACATAACTGAAGCCGTCCGACTGTTCATTGGGCTCCTTGCACTGTTCGTCGTAGATGCAGCTGCCTGACGGACACCACCCGCATTTGAGGGACGTCTGGACGCAGGAATTGCAGTCTTTGAGCGACGAGCATAAGCCGATCGCATTGGCAACGTGCGACCTGCTTTCCTCCTGGCACTGGTTTATGAGGCCTTCTTCGTTTGGGAGCAGGAGACTTTGCTCATACGACAGGCAACGGTTCCATTTTCGGTGCCAGACGCACTTGACGCCTAGTTTCGAGCTGAGGCATGCCGACTGACTCATCGAGCTGTTACAAACCCCAGGTGTAAATCTGGAAAAGAAATTGGTTCACTTCTATGATTTTACTTCTATTCATTCTGAGTCCAGGGTGTCTACTAAAACAGGCTGGCCAAAAATCAGTACTTTTAAAATAGTTTTCCAGTACATTCCCGAGAAATTCAGTACTTCCTTAACAGGAAAATTAAGTCCTTTTCAGTTAATCCAATTGACGAAATTCAGCAAATTTCAAAAATTTGAATTTTGCACTCAAATTGTGACAAAAATGACAAAAAATGAAAAAATGACCTTCTTGCGGAATTCTGCACTTTTTCAGTACTGACGGACCGCCCTTAAAAAATCAGTACTATTTCTGTACTTTCCGGACTTGTAAACACTCTGCTGAGGAAACTGGAATCATCTTAGCAAGAGTGGATCAGCAGGCTGATTTGTTTGGCATTATACAATGTAAAAATATAATACAATGAAGATGATCAGACTTAAATGCGGACTGATTATTGAAACTGATGAACAAAGCGATAGACAAAGAAGACAAGGAGAAATGGAGCAATCCTACTGGTTGAAAATGTGGTTATTATGGACAAAGATGAAAAATGATGGACTCATTGTACGGTCCCTTGTGGGTTGCTGTTAGTTAGTCTAGTCAATTCAGTCGTCTATATTTCTCAAGTTCAACAGATCTATTGAACAGAGTGAGAGTTGCCCATAAAACATGTCAGGAAGTTTTCAATGAGTGTGTCAATCTCAATTTACAATCACCAAATATTCGGCTTAGACTAAAATTTTCAGGGCAAAAAAGCTTAGATCTGGATTTTTCGATCGTGTCTCCAGATGATGCGCTTTGCCAAAAAAAAAGAGGAAAACACCCATCTTTCAGATTTTAAAATGATTCCTGCACGTTTGGTTTTTCCTCATCAAAAACGGAAAAAGGAAAATAAAGATATTAAGGTGATTCGATGGACGCCATATTTTGTGTCAGAACGGCATGCGGTATATTGCATCAATTGGGTCCATTATTTCACCTACTCGTCATTTTTCTACAATTTTGAGATCGCAAATCTGTTGTCAGGAGACTAAAGCACTCACTTACCAATTTTAACAAAGAAATTCAACGTAATAAAGGCGTGGTTTTTTCAGAGAGAAAACATCGCATTCGAGTGCAGTTTCGATATAAGTATCGAATGCGATGTTTTCTCTCTGAAAAAACCACGCCTTTATTACGTTGAATTTCTTTGTTAAAATTGGTAAGTGAGTGCTTTAGTCTCCTGACAACAGAATTGCGATCTCAAAATTGGAGAAAAATGACGAGTAGCTGAAATAATGGAACCAATTGATGTGATATATTGCATGCCGTTCTGACACAAAATATGGCGTCCATCGAATCACCTTAATGAACTTTCTTTGCGGCCGAAATTTCAGAGGGAAATTATTTATTGACCTTCCAGTTCTTGTAAAAATGGATTTGATGGAAAAACAACGCAAAATCTGAAATGGAGTTTTCTGTCCTTTGCCCCACATAAGTTGAATTAAATCAAACCTGTCTTCGGAATTAAATGCTGATTTTCATACTTTTGAAAAAACACTGGTTAACTCTGATACTTACTTGAGTATATCATTGACCATTTGACCATCAAACCCTCCGTAGATATAGATGGAGCTTTCAAAGATCGACGCCGAATGTCCAAACCTGGCGAGGTGTGCCCTCAAATTATTAGGAACTTGGATGGAGGACCATGTGTCGCAAACCCTATCGTAGGCGAGGAAGTCTTGTGAGTAGCACTTAGCGCCATGAGAGGATGCGGTGTCGTTATGAGTATTTCCACCGTAAACTAGCATCAGACTGCCCATGAACGTTGCTGAGTGGAGGAATCGTGCGCTTGGTGCAGACATCAACATAGTCCTGTGAATTGAAGAAGCAAATTTCAGTTTTCCTTACTTTTCATGATACTTACACCGTACTTTGATAAAAGGATAACTAGTTGCAGATTTATTCAGGGATCAAATATTTTCTCCCAGAGCAGTGACACTGCTATGCTAAGGAAAAACGCCAAATAGGCATTCTGTTGTTGCCAAATCTCCTCTGATATAGTACCGATTTTCTAAAGAACTTCCAACCATTTTTTACACAATTTTTCGGGGATTTTTAGGCGAAATTTTTTCTTTACTTCACCAAGCAAGTTTAGAGATACAAAACAATGAAGTTTTGAAGCAAAACAGTGATTTAAACAATGAAAAAAAAAAGTTAACTGCACATAAAAAAAAAAGTACAACAAAACTAAAACTACCTAAGCAAAAACTGAGCAACTCTATTGCTGATGAACAATTTAGATTGAGGAGTACTTAAAAAGTTTTTTCTACAAGGATAAAAAGAAAAAATAGAGAAAACGAAAAACGAGAGATAAAAAAAAAGGAGTAAATAATTACTGGGTTACTCACCAAGTTCGGGTGTTCGGCTCGTAAGAGTAGATCATTTTGCTCAAGTAAGAGGAGGACGAACTTTCAGACACGAATCCACCGTAAACATAGATTTTCTGACTGATAGGATCCCAAGCTGCGCTGTGGCCATACCCACCTTTCACGATAAATCCTTTAGTTTTAACTATGGTCCAATTCCGAGTACCTTAAAAAACAAGAGAATTACATATTTACACATTCTTAAAACATTCCCAACAAAAATACACTCTTCACTCCATAAATTTCAAAAGATTTTGTGAATTTTCTTTAATCACTCTAAAAAAATCATTCGAGAAGCATTTTGATTGGTTTCCCATGAAGAAAATAAAACCCAATCAGAGATTTTTAAACGTTGCAACTGAGATATGCATTTTTGGCAACTATCGATATGTTGTCCTCTCTTTACGCATAGGATTAGATTTGAATATAGATGGCTAAATTCTGAAAATATATACCTCAAATTGCGATGTTGTAAATTTCCTCTCATTTTTTATTTTAAAAGAGAAAAGCAACTCATTATTTCTTGAAATTTTCTTTGATTTTCCTTAACCCAGTCAGAATTATTCCTTACACATTTCAAGCCAGAATATTTGGAGGGCTTGGAGGACAAGACGCTTAAGTGCAATTTTTGAAAAAATTGAGATGTTAATGATTCTAACTAAAACTAGTCTTAAAATGCATTCTGTGAAAATTTCACAACTGAAATCAAATTTTTCAGCATCAAAAAGTGAGTTCGAATTTTCTTGCTGCCACAAGGCTCCATGTAATTTTGATACGTTAAACACTCATTTCTTAAAATTGCAAAAACTACACTTACCCACTAATCCTCCAATCCCTTGTTGGTTAAATAAACTCGAGGGTGCTTTGAAACAAGTTTTCAGGATTTCAGTAACGGCGTTGTGCATTCATAAGACCAAATTCTGATAATCTCCGCCTTTCAGAGACTCTGTTTAAACTACAAAATTATTCAAACTCTAGGGTAAAAATTATTCTGGAAGATAGACTTACCAAAGTGATAGTCTTGTACGGTATTTAGAAATCCATAGGTTGGCGAGTGTCCAAAAATGATGATCATACGTTCCGATTTGTTGGCTTTGTTTGTCACCAGCGTTGCGGTGTGGCCTGCGGATTTTAAAGGTCCTGAAATCCAAAACAAAAATTTATTGAGGCGATATTCAAGCATGATAACATTGATATTAAAAATCCTGGTTTATTAATGATCTAATAGGTGATGGTTAAAAAAATTAGGGGGTATCTTTCAACTTTCTGTAACTTTTTTCTAAAATTCACTTCTTGCTTCACAATCTGCTTAGAAAATTTGCACATTTTTGGAGCTTCCTTCTTTGAAACGTAAACTGTGGCAGACATGTAATTTGATGCAAACAGGTCGACCCAGTTTCATGATTCCGCATGAAACTCAAAATAGAGCCACAATACAATGCAGTTTTGTAAATCAAATCAAACGAGAAACTTTTCCTTTGTAAAATGCAATGTGGAAAGCAGAAAATTAACGTTTTTAAAAAGATGTATTTGCTAGGTTGACAATGCTTCATTCAGAAATTTCGTGTGAAGATGGCGATTTTGATCAAAATTAGAAAAAAAAAGAGTAACAAATATTTAAGAACACTCTTTAGAATAAAATTATTGAAATTCCAAATGAGTTTTGAAAGCATTTAGCTCTCCTGCTATACATGGATTTACTATGCTTAAAATCTTTTGATAAAATAAAAAAAAGTAAAAGACACTGTTAATTTCCCAAAAGGAATGCACTATAGATAAAGAACAATGTCACATCTTACCGCACAAATAGGATTGAGAGAAACTTGAGGTGACATTATTATGACATGAGTCGATCCTGACAGTGATATTTTCCCATGTCTTTGCACTCACGTCAAAAGCCCATAGTTCATTGCATACTTCTCCCCCTTGTTTTACTCCGCCGTACATATATATTTTGTCCTGAAAAGATCAAAAAAATACATAAATACTTCAAAAATCGATAGACTGTAATATGTTTTCACCTCTCTTTATGAATTTTTACGAACATGTTGTGATCTACAGAAATAGGGACTTCAGGGCCAAGAATTTTCAAACTGCATAAATGAGCGTTTGACAATTATTTCGGCCCGACAAATACTAGAAAATGTTGAGCCTATCCGAATTTAGGATGATTCAAAGGTTGCCTTGTAAAATACGTAACTTTTGAGGAAGAGCAATTTTAGGGTTAAATTTGGTATGTTTGGGGTACCTATGAATTTAGGTTGCGCTTGTGGTTTAAGGAACTCAAGTCATTGTCATTTTATTTTTTTCCTCCAAAGAGTTAAAAATGTAACAAATACATTCAAATCAAAGCCAGTTATAGGGACCATTTAAACACAGCTTGGATAGCAGTCACAAGTTTAACACTTTAATTGCTTGACTCAAAACAAAAAACTGATCACAAATGAAAATAATTTTTCTTACACCAAACAGGGCAACTGAGTGACCGTAGCGGGGCGTAGGAGAGGTTCGACTGTCCATTTGCGGTGTCTCCCAAACATTTCCTGGAACAAAATTTGTGCATGTTTTTAAGTCAGTAAGGATAAATTTAAAAACTGAATATGAAGAAGGAAAGGGGATAAAATTTAATGGAAACTGAACCTTAAAAGAACAGTTCTTGAGGACTCCTTTGGAAATTTCATGATACCCACTGTAACAAGAGGATTGATTTTAAAAAACGAAAATTTCTTTATTCTTAAAACTATGGTGCATTTGGGAATTTTTCAGATTGTATAGGCTAATTGGCATTGGGAACATTTTTGAGTTTTATTTAGACTTTTTTAGAGAGGCAAAGTGGATTATCCAATTTTGAATTGTAAGCCCCCACCCCCCCCCCAAAAAAAGAGGTCATGGGGTAGAGGTAATTTTATATTTAGATAAGGTTTAGCAAAACAGGCATATCTACATTGTGGTGTTTAAAAATATTATCTTCTATTCAATGTTTTGGAAGGAAAGCGACCAACTATTCCGCTTAAAGTTTAATGAAAGTAACCTTCATATGGCGATCAAAATTGCGAGAACTTTCGAGCAGGGATATTGGTTGCTTTCTTTCCACAAAAATTTAATAGGAGATGAGGTGCGGAAATACTGTAATGTAAATGTTACTGTTTTGCTTAACTCTATTTATTTTTACACTACCGACAAAGAAGCAAAGCTTTCATTCCATGTATTTTTGTATTTATTTTCTAACAGTTTGACCTCAAAATTTAATAATTCAATGTTAAGATCTACTTCCTGGGGATATGATTTTGTCAAATGGTCCTTTCCTGAAAATACAAAAGTGCAATGACTTACCGTTGAAGTCATACACATAAATCATATGAGCTCGATGATACGACTCGCCGCCAATGATATAGAGGGAGTCTCGCCAAACGACTGCTCCATGAGACGCCGTCCCCTCAGGCATGAAATCTTTTGGTGATATAACTTCCCAGTATCCAGCATCAGCCACCTGACTACAATCGTCACCTGAGGACAAAAAGGGATTCAAATTTTCAGAAATTTTTTCTTTCCAGTGCCCTAAGAAAAATGGGTGAGAGCATGATAAAAAAAATCAACGAAAAATTGTGAACTGAGTCAAAACAAGGTTTAAATGACTCATACAAGGAAGATATTGAGTAAAAAACTGTACACGAACTTGCAAACTGACCTGCTCCAGATGACCAAAAATCAAGAGAATCACTGAAGAAACCATGCTCAATTGCACTTAAATATTAATTGACATTTCATGTTCAAAGGATGATTTTTCTCTTCAAATAACTCTATCTTAATTGTGCACCAACTCTAAAAAATCAGAATATATGGAGAACTTTAACAAAAATCATCGACCAAAAAGTCTGTATTCAGCTTGCTCTGGTTCCTAAACAGTTGTATGCTTTTGCAGAATGGATTCAAGATTTTCGAAGTCCAAAGGGTGCTGTCAACACCTTCCCATATTTCTTTTAAAACATTCTTTAAATTCTTTCATTCATTAAGGTTGGCTGGATTCATCCATTTATCTTCAGATTTTTGTTTCTTTTCAGTTATCCTCCAATCATCTCTTTTATTAAACCTATTTAATTACCAAACTTGCAGCTAATAGCTACATAGATTATAGCCAGCCAATCACAAGAGGTCTTGTTGTCTCACCACCCATGCCATAAGCAAGGCTATATAAACGTGTGCTGTCTATTTTTCGAGGTCTTCCCACATCTCTCAGACCCCAGAGCCAAGTTCCTCATTTTTGGGTCTTCTAACATCTTTAAGACCACAAGTTTGTGTGCACCTCCAAATTCAGTGTTACATCTTTAACTCCGTGAATCTCTTTTGTACATCTTTAAAACTTATATACAACTCTTTTTCTGGATATTTTGTGACATTCTGTGCAACATCAAAAATCTTTCAACAGCAATTGAATTCAAACTCAAAATCTTTCAATTTCAATCGCTTTCCTTTTGATGAACATTTCGGTTTAACTTTTTTTAAATTTATACTTACAAAATTTCTTGGTTTTGTGCCAGCTGGTACCAAAACGGTTTTTTACGAACATTTTACGAATAAGGTTGAATAACAATTCTATCACATTAGAACAATATTCACAAACATGGTGCCGCGACCTTATTCATTGACAGGTACTGTATCCAGATAATCGCAAATTTTGTACAGCTTCAATCTATCCTCTGGCTACTTACACAGATCTTTTCTTCTGTATCTATCTTTCTACCATTTGACAACTTGCCTTTAAAAAATACAGCAGTCAAAACTTACTCCCTTTTATATTGAAAATTTCTAAGCTCTCTCACTTTTTATCTACCTAGAGTAAAAAACCAATTAGCCTGTGCAATTTGGCAGAAATTAGAGCCCGTTAGCAAAAACACCAGCTAAATGAGGGTCAAAAATTAATGTTAAACAAACATGAAGAATTTATCCTGTTCAGGGTTGTTACAGAATTTAGAGAACAAAAATTCCCTGAAAATTGAAGATGTGACGGATGGTTAAGAAGGCATAATTGAAAATAGTTTTCAGGCAAAATTTGTTGTTCGAAACCTCAAACCCATTCTATAAAGCAAATGAAGGTGATTAAACAAATTTTCCCTGACATTTTCGTCATTTTCCCTGACATTTCCCGGTTTTCCCTGACTTTTTAAAATTCCCTAACATTTCCCGGTTTTCCCTGATTGTGGCAACCCTGAAATTAGAGTCCAGTAGCAAAAACACCAGCTAACTGAGGGTCAAAAGTTAATGTTAAACAAACATGAAGAATTTATCCTGTTGCCAGGCGGAAAATAGTAATCCTTACTTGCATCTTAGCCTTTAAATTACTCAAATAATATTTGCGGTACAGTAACATGAACGGCAGCGTCAATTTTTTGTATCAATTATTACATAGCCATTACAATGTTGAAATGATGTTGTAGGTTGCTCGATGTTTCACCAGATGGTTCAAAAAATGAAGACACAAACATGGCGCAAATTCTTATTGCGATTAAAATACATACAAAAATCAGATTCACTATCCCTGAGTGAATAATATACGCAAATCAACTGTCAATTTTTTTGACAAATTCTCGTCCATCCTGTGTTACGTCCTGTTTTATGTCTGTATTACATTTTCCAAGATTGCCGTCTCAAGGAACAAGTAAAAACTCTAAGTTACCTTTGTATTTAGGATTACAGACGCATTGGTGCTGCTCTCGTCTGCATTCTCCGTTGCTGTAGCTGCAGTTATTGGGACAAATTGGGACGTCGCACGCCTCACCGGTAAACATCGCGTCGCAAGTGCACGTACCGTCAATGCAGACACCATTTCCCGAACAATTAACATGTGAGATACGACTAGGACAAGAATTTAAACTGGAAAAAAAAATTAATCTGATTAATATCATCTAACTTGAGGGGCTTGGAGGACAAGGTACATAAGTGCAGTTTTCGCTATTTCGGGAAATAGGTGTTTGAAGTTTCAAAATTACACGGATCCTTATAGCCAAATGAGTTCAAACTGACTTTGTAATGCTAAAAAATTGGAATTTGGGAGAACATTTTTCAGAGAATATGAATTTAGAATAGTTTCACTTGAAATAAATAATATCTCGTTTTTTCCAAAAACTGCACTTATGTGCCTTGTCCTCGAAGCCCCTCATTTGGTCTGATGAAGTTGCACACAACTCTCTATTGACTAATTTAGACTCTTTACCTGTGAATATTGCAAATCGACGGTGTAAGTTGGCAATCTCATAACTCGTTTGCGGTGTCTGAAAATCTCCGCCTCTACGTTAATTTTTTAAAGGAGAACAAATTGACATCATTCCATGAAGTTTTTGCAGAATTTTCTTCGCACAGAGAAGAAAAATCATGGCAGTTTTAAAGAATTGCAGTTGAGTAATTTTCCGTTTGGAACATAAAGTATGACAGGAAGTCTGCGACGTTGCAAACCGAATTAGGTGATTGCCGACTTACACCGTCAAAATGTGGCTCTTCACAGGAAAAAAGACCTTATTGCACAGGAAAAGAGCTGTCAGGGAAGTAATTTTTTTCAAATGGAGCTGTCGGTCAATAGAGGTGTTTTGAAGCAAATGAAGCAAAGTCCATTTTGCTGATGAGCCCCACAATGCTAGTCTTCTTACGAAATCCAGGGCTCATCGAAAAAATGGACTTTGCTTTCTTGACTTCAAGATGCCTCAAATATTATACACAGGTGCAGAAAGTTCCAGCCTCCCACATTTTCTTGGGCCCATCTGGTAGCTTTTCACGTTCCGTCGTCACCCGCATGAAGGCATGTATTTTGTCTGCCCTGTTTCAGTATTTCTACCAACATTTTATGTTTCATAAAGGAGCCGTCGTACAAATTTGTCTGAAAAATGTTGTGCCTTTCCTTAAAACTGTTAAGAAAAATCACAAGAAATTTCAGTAAAATTCATGAGACAGACCTCCTGCTGAGAAAAAATAAAATATAAGTAAGAAATCCTGAGACAATGCAATCGAGAAACGTTCCTTTGTGCCAAACAGCTTTTAACAAATTTCCTTCCTCTTTTAAAAGTGGTGACCCCATATTTTTGGCTTGCGAGTAGTTACTAGTGAGGATCGACAGTGAAACTACCAGATCACGTATCTCGGTTTGCGCTATGTTGCAGACTTCCCTGTCACACTTCATTTCAATCGACATCGAATCTTGAAAACTTCCGTGATTTTTCTTTTCTGTGCAAAGAAAACTCTGTGGAAACTTCAAGGAATGAGATTAATGTATTCTCTTTCTTAGGAATAACATGAAAGTGGGGAATGTTAAGCATCGCAAATGAGATACATGGTCCAGTAGTTTCACTGTCAATATTTTAATTAGTTGCGTAATATGCAAGGGTAAGCCCCCATTTACAAGAGGATTTTACACTACATACAACAAAATGGATAGAATTTTGCAAAAAAGGAACCAAGAGCATTTCAATGTTGCTACGATTGTACAACTTACATTCTATGCAATAAAATTACTGAAACCATGCAAAAAATTAAATTTACAAAGGTAATTTTCTTCTTGAATTTATGCTTTTTTAGGAGTTAAGATAAACCTTGTCTAGATGATCAATTCATATTTGCAAGGTAAACAAGTTTCACAATCTTAGCGACATTGGAACGCTTTTAGTTTCTTTTTGCAAAGTGCAATTCAAATATAACTTTCAAAATAGGACTGATGTAAATGGTACAGAAAGGAGAGAGAGAAAAGAGAAGAAAAACAAAATTACAAATGCTTTCTACTTGTGCTTGGTGCTGTGAAAGCGACTTAATGTATGTACATGTGCTCTTTCAAACCTAATCTGGAGTCAGTAATGACATGAAAATTTGAGCAAAAAAGAAAGACTTTTAGCCGGTTAATAATCTAAAAGCCTCACCTATAAGTAATATTGAAGCCAGTCATGTTGTACGCAACATCACTGTAAAAATGTATGAGAGCGTATCCTGAATGGGTGACAACTTCAGGAATTCTTCTAATAGAGTAGTCACCTTGATACATCAGACCACTGAAAATACATAAACAGATTAGGTTTAGAATCAGGGATAAAAATGCTGAGGACAAAATGGGAGAAATTTGCACAGTTACAACCTTGCCTCATGAAGCTGATACTTAGGTATCCCTGGACACATCTGGACTGTGTTAAGTAGAGATGCACTGCATAAGATTTTGGAAGAATATGAAATCCCTTTCATGCTTCATAACAAACCACCAAAAATATCATTTCAAAAGTGTACAGATTTAGACGACTTCAAAAGGGATTTTTCCCATCATTTTGCATCCAAAAATTAATAGGAGAGCTCAACTCACTCAGTACTTAAAGGATATGAATGAAAGAAGTAGAAGCCATTGATCTATTCAATTAATTTACTTGACTTCACCCCTCAAGATTAGCCTTATGTTCTAGGATTTGCCTCCTACTTACCGCCATTTGCAGGTTGCAAGATCGGGTATTTTCTGCATCTCTGTTTCATTATAGTCCTCACTGGTGCAAAGGACAAATGCAAAATTTCAAGAACTGGCTGGCAGATCTCTGAAGATTTTACATTAGAATGTACGTAAAGCGAGAGGTAAAATCAAGGATCAATCATTTTCCGCATTTTCTATCAAAGGGCTTACTTTGTAATCTAGGCATCAAAGTTCAATTTATTTATGCAGCAAATTTTGAAATGATCAAGTTACTTGCTACATGAGAGGAATCATATACAAGATTGGTTGCAAGGTATAGATCATAAATTAGTTACCTATAGACAGCTAATAGAGGAGAATGGACACTGTCTCCATCAAATATATACAAATGGTCCCACCCACATTCTGTGGCAAACTCTTCAATATGCAATCGAATGGTTGAATTTGCCATCCCACCAGCATCGATCAACCAACTGCATTTGACATCAACTGAATAGTTTCCGGGACCATCATAGATTGTCCCTGACGGGCCTGACACCCTAAAACAGAAAATTTATAAAATGTTACAGTTGATAGGATCAAATGGGAGAAAGAGAAATGGATCCCCTGTAGGTATTCTAAAAAAAGTTCAATCAGCCGTTGATTCCTTGAAGGTCCATTACTCTTTATTCTAGAATAGGCAATGGAGCTGTCTTGACAAAAAACCGTAAAGCAATCAAACGTTCAAATAGCACGTTGGGTTACTTACAGTTAGAGATTGGTAGAAGAATATATAAGCTGGTAACTTGCTTGGAATAAACTGACAGCATGGTAGCCAAGAGCTTTGTAAAATAAATATAAATTTGGGGTAAAACTTATATTTATTAAAACATCACCGACACTTTCCGATGTCTTGGCATCATGGTCAGGGTAAAATAGTTGAGGATGGTGTAAAATTCAAACTTCATGTTAACAGTGCAAAAATTGCAGTCTTTCTAGTCAAGAGGACATGTTCGGACCGAGAGAAAATCAGCAAGAGATTTTAGGGGAGAAAAGGGTTTTGTGGTAGGAAGGCAAAGTAATCTCTACATCCCTGCAGCCTGATTGTTGATATGTTTTGTTTGTCGGATCGACATAGATGACATAGGTTAAAAGACGGAGCGTGATTGGTCGGCTATGTCTTATCGCTGCTTTATCAAGCCTTTGTCAGGTGGAATGATCGATATACTGTCGGAAACTTAAGAGGTGCCGTTAGCTTGTCGAGAGGTCAACCCGACATAGACACGACAAAGCAGCGATAAGACATAGCCGACCAATCACGCTCCGCCTTTTAACCTATGTCATCTTTGTCGTCCCGACAAACAAAAAATTTCAACAATCAGGCTGCTGGAATATGTATCTTTGTAACATCCATGTAAAAAATTTGTATACTAGTTGTGTCATATGTTAAGCACATAAGTATGACCATAGTGGGAACATAGGGATATTTCTATGAAACCATACTTAAATAATGCACAAAATGTTGTGGCTCAAAATCACTATCCATTAATACAAGTATGTACATCTCAGCTGTGTGAAAATTGGAGACTGAAGAAGCTTACATTGTGAGGAATTGATGTCTTACCGACAAATTTTTAGAGAAAACTTGAATACTACAGCTGATCCAAGTAAGATCTAGTGTACCTATTACACCACAACCTAACTCCTCGACAGAACCACCTGAGGAGGATCAGCAAGATCAATACAAGAAGTTTCCGTTGTTCTTGCTCATGTGCAGGTAAAGTGACGACTACCCGTAAGGAAAATGCCAACACTGTAATAAGAGAGTTTTTACAGCATGATGATATGATCTTATACTGAATATGTCAAGATACAAGAGCCGATAATGAACCAATCGAAACTGCCCTACTTTCACGATGACAGTGAAATGTTCCGTTTGGACAGTGTTGGATTGGAGGAAAGTGTGAACAGCCAAATAAGGCTGAAGATATAGGTGGTAATTTCAAGAAAGGATAAGAAACAAACCTAATTTTGCCCGCACAAGAGTGACAGGCAGATCCTTGCCAGCCATCCAAACAAACACAAGTGCCATTGATGCATTCACCATTGACACACTGAACATCGTCACACTTATTAGATAAACACTTAATTGAAACAACTAAAAATTGGAATATCACAATGACACTTAAAATGGAGTAAAATTCATATTTCCGTCGATACTTTGATTTAAACAGAAATAAAAACATCTGCGAACACACTGCCATTTTGAAGACAGTTTCTGACATGATAAGAATTCTGAATTTGTGCCCAGCCAAGCCAGGGACCAGTTCTATAGGACCCTGGACTCCCGTAAGAGTCAATGTAAAAATTCGTGAGCAGGTACTAGTGCTGCTATCGCGCGTAGGATCCTCGCAACTCACTGCTGTCATCAGTTGTTGGACTTCATTAAAATCCGTAGGATCGCGTATAACTGCGAAAAATCGAATTTTTCACTAAACATTTAAATGCGGCGGGCCCCTCCACGTCGATAGGGGTCGAAAAACGCCAAAAATATACTTATTTTTCAAGAATTCAGCCGCCTTATGTGTTATTTTTCAATCTCCGGCTTAACCTCACTTTTGGAGCGGGCGATGGATGAGTCGAGGTTCGGGGGGAAGGATCCTCTGAGTTGACTAGGATCCTACGCGAGAATGCGCTGCAATCACCCGCTCACAACAGAACGGCGTCCTATAGAACTCGTCCCTGGCCAAGCCCAGCAAAACACTAGGGATGAATAGAGTCCCTTTATACTGAGAGTCAAGACAATTCGGCTCATGGATGTCACAAACGGGAATAAAGATTACAGAAATTGAACGTTTTTCGTAATCTTTGATCGGCCCATTCTCAAATGCCTTTCTCCGTTCCTCCTCTCATTCCGTTTGTTCCTTGCCGAACCCGTAATTCCCTGGTCCATTCTAGATTATAATCTTTGCAATCGGTGAAAATGTAATCTTTATTCCCGTTTGTGACACTGTGGAGGCCTAAAATACGGGAACCAATCAGAAATGGATTCAAATTGTCTTGACTCTCAGTATAAAGGGACTCTACAAGCAAGTAGACACTACTTTCCTTTTACATTTTACAAACAAGGAACCAAAGACATAAAGACGGAGCACTAAAAGCAAAAAATGAAGCTTCTAGAGCTTCTTTTCAATCACCTCTACTATTGGCTAGAGGATTGGCGGCGAAATCGGGACAAGTTTGAATTCAAATGTAGGGCGGGAACTAATAAATAAAATTGCGGAAACAAAGTATTTTAGGTTGATTTTTGCCCAAATTCAGGTACACACTCATATTTTTTTAACTTTAGGTTAGTTTCAGTCCGTCGTCGACCGATTAATTTCATTTGGGAGTAACGTTGATCTAGAACTGTAACGGCCTGTTTGAACCTGCAGAACCACCATGAGCAGAAGAAAAACTAACTTTATCTGAGATTACTGCCTGTTACCGAGCAAAAGTAGGTGTATTATATTAGGACGCAGACCGAACTTTCTCAGTATATTCGTTTTAGGAATTTAAAATAGGTTTCAAAGAAGAAATGTGCAAAAATCAAGAGGACAAGTTCAAATCAAATTTCCGTTTGCCGCCATGGATTCCCGCGCTCATTTACACACTCACACTAGAGTCCCTTTATACTGAGAGTCAAGACAATTCGGCTCATGGATGTCACAAACTGGAATAAAGATTACAGAAATTGAACGTTTTTCGTAATCTTTGATCGGCCCATTCTCAAATGCCTTTCTCCGTTCCTCCTCTCATTCCGTTTGTTCCTTGCCGAACCCGTAATTCCCTGGTCCATTCTAGATTATAATCTTTGCAATCGGTGAAAATGTAATCTTTATTCCCGTTTGTGACACTGTGGAGGCCTAAAATACGGGAACCAATCAGAAATGGATTCAAATTGTCTTGACTCTCAGTATAAAGGGACTCTACAAGCAAGTAGACACTACTTTCCTTTTACATTTTACAAACAAGGAACCAAAGACATAAAGACGGAGCACTAAAAGCAAAAAATGAAGCTTCTAGAGCTTCTTTTCAATCACCTCTACTATTGGCTAGAGGATTGGCGGCGAAATCGGGACAAGTTTGAATTCAAATGTAGGGCGGGAACTAATAAATAAAATTGCGGAAACAAAGTATTTTAGGTTGATTTTTGCCCAAATTCAGGTACACACTCATATTTTTTTAACTTTAGGTTAGTTTCAGTCCGTCGTCGACCGATTAATTTCATTTGGGAGTAACGTTGATCTAGAACTGTAACGGCCTGTTTGAACCTGCAGAACCACCATGAGCAGAAGAAAAACTAACTTTATCTGAGATTACTGCCTGTTACCGAGCAAAAGTAGGTGTATTATATTAGGACGCAGACCGAACTTTCTCAGTATATTCGTTTTAGGAATTTAAAATAGGTTTCAAAGAAGAAATGTGCAAAAATCAAGAGGACAAGTTCAAATCAAATTTCCGTTTGCCGCCATGGATTCCCGCGCTCATTTACACACTCACACTAGAGTCCCTTTATACTGAGAGTCAAGACAATTCGGCTCATGGATGTCACAAACTGGAATAAAGATTACAGAAATTGAACGTTTTTCGTAATCTTTGATCGGCCCATTCTCAAATGCCTTTCTCCGTTCCTCCTCTCATTCCGTTTGTTCCTTGCCGAACCCGTAATTCCCTGGTCCATTCTAGATTATAATCTTTGCAATCGGTGAAAATGTAATCTTTATTCCCGTTTGTGACACTGTGGAGGCCTAAAATACGGGAACCAATCAGAAATGGATTCAAATTGTCTTGACTCTCAGTATAAAGGGACTCTACAAGCAAGTAGACACTACTTTCCTTTTACATTTTACAAACAAGCAACCAAAGACATAAAGACGGAGCACTAAAAGCAAAAAATGAAGCTTCTAGAGCTTCTTTTCAATCACCTCTACTATTGGCTAGAGGATTGGCGGCGAAATCGGGACAAGTTTGAATTCAAATGTAGGGCGGGAACTAATAAATAAAATTGCGGAAACAAAGTATTTTAGGTTGATTTTTGCCCAAATTCAGGTACACACTCATATTTTTTTAACTTTAGGTTAGTTTCAGTCCGTCGTCGACCGATTAATTTCATTTGGGAGTAACGTTGATCTAGAACTGTAACGGCCTGTTTGAACTAGAGTCCCTTTATACCCAGAGTTAAGACAACTCGATTATCAGCTGACTGGCAGCCGGCCTTGGCTGGCCATGGAGGTCGAAACGAGTGCACCCAAACGAACGATATTGAGGGATAAGGATCAGGAATCCTGCGATGTCTGTCACACAAAAACAACAACATCAACAAATTGATCAATTAAAAAGAAAATGAGATTGGTTTGTGAATAATTTCTTAATCTATTTTCATTTTGGACCGATGGAAATAACAATTTACTCTTGATAAACCACAATTAGGTAATATTTTCATTATTCTTGTTCACATTCGAGGTACCGCCATCTTGGTGCACTCGTTTCGGCCTCCATGAGCGAGAACCAATCAGAATTGGATTTTTTTTTAGGCCACTTTCAGCCCAACCCTGGCCCAACCAAAAGTGAGTTGTCGCAACTCTGGGTATAAAGGGACTCTACTATGAGCACTACTGAGTGATAAGCCTAAATAGGTGGTGCATGGAAATATAAACAGGAGGACCCAATCGTCGGTTTAGTTCACTACACCTTCTGCCAGGGAGCGCTGATGTCAGCGCTAACCGGAGTTGGGGGTCCTTATTTATTCAACACATTTTATAACAAGGGCATTGTTCCCTCCTTTTAAAATCAAGCTTAAGTGCATTCAAATTCGTATATTGACAAGAAGAAACGTCGCGGACCATTAAGGCTTGGTATCGGTGGTACTCCGACTATCTAAAAGTCTGCGGCAGTGAGCACATCGGAAAAAAGAATAATTTATTTGTCTCTGTCGTTCCCTTTCGTATCGTGTCGCGCCTAAAGGGAGGGCAGCGCCGGATCAGAGCTTTAACAATTATTTGAATTACATTTTGCAATAAGGAACCATTATTTCTGGCCCATTTTAGAGACGTACATACATGCCATCGGTTTCCCTATGCAGATATGAGCTTTTATGGGAGAGCCAGAGATAGTGGTTCCTTATTGCAAAATTTAATCCATTTGGCGATTCGTCAACCATTTAAAAACTTTTTTATTTAAATTTAAATTAAATAAATCACCTGAACAGAATTAGGCTAGGGCCAATGACGTGAGCTCGATAACATTATTGAGATGGATCATCAGTCCCATGATGCCGAAACTTGGCCGAATTTCTAACATTAGTTTTTTTTTTACTTCGAAAATGGTGATATCCCAAGCACGCCCGATTCGAAAAGGCGAGGAATGGGAGAGATCCCTTCTAAAACTCATTGTCAGTCAGAAAAAGATATGTCACGGGAGACAAACTTAGGAGGGATGACACACGAAATTGCTTTCAGTCCTACCGAACTGGAGAGGCATGGAGTAGAGCGAAGGGGGGGGGGGGGCAGACCGCGGTGGTAAGAAAATGGGAAAAGAAAAAACTTGAAAACATGAATCTTCTTGAAAATTGGAAGAAATGTTCCTTAGACCATGCATATTGATGCCCCGTAATCGTTTTGGTGGCACAATGTCCTTTATAGAGGGGCGGGCCCCCCGGGATACTATGCGAGCCATTATGAGGATACGGTCACATGTTGCCAGAAAACTTCGAATAGAAAAAAAATGAAAACATGGATCTTCTTGAAAATTGGCGGAAATGATCCTCACACCATGCCTATTGACGTCCCGTATTCGTTTTGGAGGCACAACGTCATCGAACGAGGGGAGGAGCCCCCGGAATACTATGCGAGCCCAGTTGGAGAATCAGCCGCTTCCGGTCAGATTAACGAGAATAGAAAAAAATTGAAAACATGGATCTTCTCGACAATTGGCAGATAAGATCCTCAGACCATGCCTATGGACGCCCCGTATTCGTTTTGGTGGCACAACGTCATTGAACGAGGGGCGGAGCCCCCGGAATACTATGCGAGCCGTTTTGGAGAATCAGCCGCTTCCGGTCAGATTAATGCGAATAGAAAAAAATTGAAAACATGGATCTTCTTGAAAATTGGCAGAGATGATCCTTAGACCATGCCAATGGACTTCCCGTATTCGTTTTTGTGGCATAACGTCATCGAACATGGGGCGGAGCCCCCGGAATACTATGCGAGCCTTTTTGGAGAATCAGCTGCTTCCGGTCGGATTAATGCGAATCGAA